ATATATAAACTCACACATAGGGATAGCTTTACTTGGCTAACGTCTAAGATGTAATTAGATAAAGTCAAAATAAACAAATCTTTATTCACTGGGCTGTAGCCATGTTTCTGGCTCTGCCTACCAGAATTTGCAGTTGTGGAGCGACATGATAGTAAGTTGATAGTTTGAGAGGATATTACGCTGGTCATACCGACACTCTGCCTGTACACTGCTAGAACACATCATAAATCCCAATCTCACAAATTATAAATCTGTTTTACTCCAAAATAAACAGTGTCAGTTTTATTGTACATATAAACGGCTCCTGACCCTGTTACGTGTTCAGTGTGTTAAGTGACAGGTTACAGTTTTAGGTTACCTGATTGTAAGAGTCATAGGAACTTGCCTTTTCAAAATACGTGGTATGTTCCTCATGTGCTCTACCATCCATGACAATTTCAGGATCAATCCTGACAGGGACTCCTGTCTGAGTTGAATCCTTCTCTAAGTGACGTCATTTACTGTGAGCTGGGAAATCAATTTGGAAGATCATGTTAGTCTACTAAGCACTTCAGATAAGGCAATTCCACGAAGCATTCCAAGATTATCACAAGGAATGGCTCTCATATGCCATAAAATAGTGACATGGCCTGCTGAAGGAGTTACAGTTTGACAGCCCCTCCCACAGAAGCCCTAAAGTCACCCGGTGACAGTTCTGGTTAGCACTCACAGGTTGAAAGCTTCACAGTTGGCACACCCTGGCCTTGCGGAGCCAGTCGTATGTGCGTCTCTCAATCGATGATGAGGGTTTCAGAGCCGATTCTAGACATGGACATGGGAAACTACAGCGAAGTTTTGGACCCAACTTACTCAACTTTGGAGTTTGACACCATGCAGATTCTATACAGTTCCAACGGTGAGTTCTCATATCCCTATATGGTAGAGAAATAAGTACAAGAGGCAGAAATGGAGTTCTGTGAAGGTCTGGCTTAGCTACATTGCTGAAGAATCCAAGAGTTGTGTTTAAGGCCACAAATCTAAAGCTTTCTGTACATCATCACAAAATTCAAAGTCAAGTTGCCATAGCTGTTTGATATTAGAGTTACAATAGCTTATATTTGTGTTATAAACTTACCTCAGAATTATATATATATATATAGGCCAGTTGGGGTACAAAATTTCAGAGGCTGTTTTATTTGCTGTACATCAGAGTGACAAGTAATTTTTACAGATTGGCCTGTACATTTTCTATACAGTATGTAAAGTGACTTATGGACAGCTTTACCTAGGTGCTGGGGGGTGGACGTGGTCCTATGTTCATTTTATCATTTCTAATACCCCATTGCTGTTGAGGAGAAGCTACACTAAAGATTATCGTGTGGTCTTTTCACTGGCCACAGATATAAAAAGAAATAAATGTTTGTATTGTTACTTCAGTCGACAGGCTAATGTTTAGCTCCACAGAACCCGTGGTTTTTATCTACTGTAACATTTTAACTTTAAATAAGACACAGATTGTTTGGGGTTTGGGTCTTTTATGTAATACTGTTTACTATTCACTCAGAATGCAGATTTCTTTTTCTAAGTGGAAAGCTTACGCAAGACAGGTTGTAACTGTTCTACCTTTCATTTATAATATTCTATGGCCAAAGTGTATACCTGTGTGTATGTGTGTCTCTGTATGTACTTTTATTGTTCAGGACTGGTAAATCATCTCAAGATTATCTTAATATTATGAACTGTGAACTTCATTTGTATTTTCAATAAGCAATAGCTTAACGGTGGGGAGACATTTAGAAATTGAAAACCCAGTTCTGTAATTGAACACAAATACAGAGAGAAGCTATAGTGTAATTTGTAGGAAGACAGAGTTTTGATAAAAGATATTCAGTATTCATTTCAATAGAATCAGAGTTTGAATAAGAGACCCCAGATTCATAAGCAGTAGGTACAGGTGCACCCTGTGTATGTACAGCTTTTATCAGTGTGAGCTAAAATAATTCACAGGCAGAGCTATGTGTATGGAGGTATCTAACGTGCTTATTTAGAACATTGTCTCTTGCATGTAAGTATGGCATTAATTTCTGTTTGATATTTTATGTTATCCAGCAGAGACAATTGATTCCAGGCATTTCTTTTTAAAAATATTTTTATTATTTAAAACAATATTTAAATTTAAATATATTTAGATGATATTCTTCTCCTCTCCCAAGTCCTTCCACATCCTCTGTTGCTCCCTGTCCACCCAACCTTAAATTCCTCCTCAGGGAAAAAAAAAAAACAAAAAAAACCAATATAACTATAAAACCCCTCAAAACCAAGAAAACAAAATAAAATGATACCCAGAAAGAAAAAACAAAACAACAGCAGCAAGCCCCCCACCACACGGTAGACAAAAACACACAAGAAAACTGTGGAATCCACTATATGAACCAACTCCTCCTGAACTGGAGGCCTCCCTATCCATGGTTGGCATACCCCGCTCCATGGGGGAAAACTGATTTCCCCTCTCCCAGTGAGTGTAAGTGATAGCTCAGTTGTTAAGCTTCATGCTAGGGACTAGGTTTTCATTCACTTTTTCATTCATTTTTTTTAACTATAGCAAAGTAAAACATAATAAAATAAAACAGAACTTTCACACTGAGTCAGACAAGACAAACCAACAGAAGGAAAAGAATCCCAAAGGAAGGTAAAGAATCAGAGACCTGCTCATTCACATCCTTAAGATCAGAAAGGAGAGGAGAACCTCCCCTATCAGTGAACTTGGGGAGTGGCATGCATGCAGAAAGGGGAGGGAGGGTGGGATCGGTAGGGGAGGAGGGAGGGGCTTATGGGGGGATACAAAATGAATAAAGTGTAATTAATAAAAAAATAAAAAAGTTTCAATTAAAAAAAATTCCATAAAAGTACTAAACTTGAATTTGTAATATCTATGTAGAGGACTTGGTACAGACCTGTGCAAGCTCTGTGCTTTCTGCTTTAGTCTCTGTGAGTTCTTATGAGCCTTGCTCAGTTGATTCAGAGGGCCTTGTTCTGGGGTCCTTCATTCTCTTTGGCTCTTACATTTTCTCTTCCTCCTGTGAGATCTGAGGGGCAAGATTTGATGGAGACATTTTATTTACAACTAAGTGCCCCAAGGTCTCACATTCTCTGAGTAATATCTGGCTGTGATATTAGATACTTCTGACTTCCATAATGCTAATACCTTGCTAATGTTATAGATTTTTTTTCTAGCATTTATAATCTACTTTTTATGATCTTCACATATTTTTGAGATTACAAATCACAGTATTTGCAATTTGTGAAATTATAAATTTGTAATTTATGAAATTACAAATCACAGTATTTGTCTATTCAAAAGTATTGTGCATTCATATGTAGAGTATAGTATGTGTAATATCACATAATGTAATTAGTACATGCCAACTTTAACTCTACCTATTTTTATTAGAGATATGTTAGTGGTTTATTATTATTCCTATAGTATATATTCAGTTTTAAGTGTAATTATTATTTTGTTCTTGAACCTATGTTATTCTGACTAATAGGCAAGTGTTTTGTCATTGAGCAATATCCCTATTCAACCAAGTTCAAGTTTTACTATAGTGCCTTATGCATTTAATATCTTTGAGTATATTTTCAACAATATCAATTCATTAAAGAAATATTTATATACTAAAAACATACATGTGCATGTATATGGACTTCTATAAAGGACTGAGTGAGGCAGAAGATCCACTGGAGGGGAGAATTCAAGTTCTCTTCCAACTGTTGTGATCTATCTATCTGTCTATCTAGTTTTCTCTTAAAACTGTATTAGGTGTTCCACTGTAGTTGGGTACAGTTCTAAGAGGTAGGAAACAGAAAGATGAGTAAAACAGATGAATTCTCAGACATCATTATGTTGAAATTCTCTGTGTAAAAATGGGTTTGTGAGTCATGCCACTTGTAGTACAGTTCCAGGCAACAGTAACGTAACGTAAAATAACAGTAGTTTGTAGAACTCTAGGCTCTTCTCAAAGGACAGTTGGGAGATGAATGTCTTTGAGCTCTCAAAGAAGATTCGTACAAAATGTGAGAAGTGATTAAAAAAAATAAAACCTTAGAATTAGCTTTAATATAGGCTTGGAATTCCAGGAACCTCTGAAAAGGACGGTTGATGAAATCAGGTTTCAGAGAACACGAAAAGGCAATAGGCATGAGAACAGTGAGGAGAATGGTGCTGTAACAAGCAGTGGCGTGTGCCAGGCAGAGCGCGTCAGTGAGCAGGTGACTGCTAAGTAATGGTGAACTAATTGGCTTTATGCTTTCTGTGAGTCACAGTGGCATTGGAGGCAAGGGTGTCATGAAGTCGCTGTCTGATAGAGAATAAAAGAGGAAAACAGATGATAGTTTGAAAATTAGATAAAAAGTTATTCTAAGAACAGTTGGAAAGGATGATGTTGGTGGATTATAGAAGACTATGCTAAAAGTGAAAAGTGGGATAAATATTTATCTTAAGTATAGGATTATAGAAATGTAAATGTGATATAAAGAATCCATTAAAGACACCTAAAACCTTATCATGCGTGTGGAACCATTGATTTATATGATCAGGACTGAATGAGGCAGAAGATACACTGGAAGAAAAAACAATTAAGGTCTCCTTTCAACTCTTATGCTTACTAGACTTTGAAATAATATCCTTACAGGTTCTTAAGCCTTTAAAACTGTATTCCATGATGCTGTCATAAAACCTGCACAAAAAACCTGAGGTTTTTGTTATCATATAGTTGACATCTGACGTCATGAGACTGCATGAGCTTCTCTTGAGAAAGGTTGTAGTTCACTGATTGAGCCCAATCATAATCCAAAATTCAGTGCTGAGAAATATTTGACAGAAGCTGAGGCGCTGCCCCCAGCACTTGAGCGGAAGCACGGGAAAGGGAAGCCCTGCGAAGCAAAGGATGGCGTACCAGTGAGCATCAGAGCACTGCGAAAAGCACTTAGCCGCGCTGACTCTTCTCATCTTTCCTCTGCAGACAGTGCTGCCCCGGAGACCACCAGTATGAACACTACAGACGGTAGCGTCAACTGTCTCTGTGCGATCTGCGGAGACAGAGCAACAGGAAAGCACTACGGCGCATCCAGCTGTGACGGCTGCAAGGGCTTTTTCAGGCGCAGCATTCGGAAGAGTCACGTTTATTCCTGCAGGTAGCGGCGTGGTCAATCCTTAGCAAGGTTTTCTTCACTCGGGTCTAAAGATGGCGTGGGTGATGTGAGGAAAGTAAACTTAGAGCTTTCCTATCTCCCTAAACCCGGAGAAAATTGCCAAGCTTCAAGAAAGTAGACGGTTGTATGCGCAGTTCACATTCACACCGGCGGTTCCATCCTAAAAACAGTTTGAGACCTGTAAATGGGCATAAAGAAATTCACACACCTGCCACCCAGTTTAGAGCGATGTAGTTGATCACTCAGGTGGGCGCCTCCCTTGCCACCTTGTCGTTGTCCTCAGTGTCCCAGGAGGAATCACCACCTAGAATTTAGTGTTAATCTTTTCCTTGTGTCTCTTTATTGTTTTATCACCTGTTCTCGTGCCACTAAACATTGATTTAAATATGTTTAAATGTTTTCTTAAGGTGTATAGTTTGCTTTTTTTTTTTAAATTTCTCTTCAGGGTCAACACATCCTGAATACTTTCTATAACATTTATGAATGTTTTTGTTTATTTGTTAGACTGTAAATTTTTTTAATGGAAAATGTAGGCAGCATTCTTCTATTTTGTGCCTACATCAAGTTCTTGAACATGTCAGGAGCTTAATGATGGCTATTGCTACCTACCATCTATGAAGAACAGCAGTAAATTACTCTGTAGAGAAGTCTCTAATATGGAGTCCTCCCATTTCCCCAACTCTGTTGCGGTGTGAAGAAATGGTAATCTGCTCTGTTTCTATATTGTTCTCTTAACACTGTCACCTTTATTTGGAGGTGTTTTCAAGGTTCCTCCACGGTGTAGCATGTGTGTCAGTGTTTTATTCTTAATTCATAACAAACAGGGCTATTCTCTTGTGTGGGATTTTTATATGCTCAGCACTTTACCATTTTGCTTACCAAAGAAAATGCTGCTCTAGCTATAGGGTTTCATTTCTCTTAGGTATATGCACAGTTTGAAACAGCTGTGTCTCACCTGTAGCTCTGTGTTTAACTTTGTGAAAAACTGCCAAGCATTTTAGCAATGTAGCAGCAATATTTAGTATTCTAACCACAGGACATAGGGGTTTTATTTTTTAACATCTTCACAAACACGTGTATCTTACCCACAGTAGGCTTTTTAAAGGTAATAAAGGGGCACAACATTAAGAAGTTATATTCTCACTGCTTTTCTAGATACCTTGTAATTTGATATTTATGGTAAATCTCAGTCCACCATCAAGTCATTAAAATTAATAGCATAGAAACACTTAAGAAAAGATAACCACACAAATGAAGAGGTATGAATCATGAAACATGATTCATCTCTACTAGGCTGAAATCATTTAACAATAAACACCAAAAATTTATATGACAAAGATTTTAAAGCTAGGTTTAAATTTTTGTGACTCAGAATTATTCACACTGGCACAAACTGATGTAGTCATTCAACTTCATTTTATTATCAAGACAATCTGAGAGGTGACTGCCATGTTCAGTGCCAATCACGAGATGTGAAATTTCTTAGGAAATTTTTTTCTTTGTTTCTTTTTTAAAATTTTCTTTATTATTACTATTTATTATAGTTTACTCATTTTGTATCCCTGCTGTATCCCCATCCTTCCTCTCCTCCAAGTCCTTCCCCTCACCCCACCCCCTCCTCCCTTAGTCCACTGATGGGGAGGTCCTCTTCCCCTGCTATCTAACCTTAGCCTATCAGGTCTCATCAAGATTGTCTGGATCCTGTTTCTCTCTGTGGCCTAGTTAGGCTACGTCACCAGCCAGAAGTAATCAAAGAGCCAGCTTCTGAGTCCATGTCAGAGACAGCCTCTGCTCTCCTTACTAGGGAATCCCACATGGAGACTGACCTGCCCATAGGCTACACCTGAGCATGGAGTCTAGGTCTTCTCCATGCATGGTCCTTGGAGGGCTCCCTGAGCCCAGATTTTTTGGTTCTGTTGGTCTACTTGTGGAGCTCCTGTCCCCTCCAGGTCTTACTATCTTCCCCTTCTTCCAAAGTTTGGTGATGACTCTCAGCATCTACTTTGAAACCCTGCTGTGTAAAGTCTTTCAGAGGCCCTCTGTGGTAGGCTCCTGTCCTGTTCCCTGTCTTCTCCTCATTCCACTTACAATGTCTATCCTGTTTGGCCTTCTGAGTGAGGTTTCAGCCTCTTCTCTAGGGTCCTCCTTTTTGTTTAGCTTCTTTAGGACTATAGATTTCAGTATGTTTATCCTATATTATATCTCTAATATCCACTTATAAGTGAGTATATACCATGTGTGTCTTTTTGCTTCTGGGTCATCTCACTCAGGATGATATTTTTTTGTTCCCACCATTTGCCTGCAAATTTCACAATATCCTTGTTTTTAATTAAACCCATCAGAATGACTAAGATCAAAAACTCAAGGGACGACACATGCTGGAGAGGTTGTGGAGAAAGGGGAACTCTCCTCCATTGCAGGTGGGAATGTAAACTTGTACAACAACTTTGGAAATCAATCCTGCACTTTCTTAGAAAATTAGGAATAGTGCTACCTCAAGACCTAGCTACACAACTTCTAGGCATATATAAGAAATATGCTGAACTATACAACAAGGACATTTGCTCAACTATGTTCATAGTAGCTTTATTCATAATAGCCAGAATCTGGACACACCTAGATGTCCCTCAGTGGAGGAATGGATACAGAAAGTGTGGTACATTTACACAGAGGAAATTATTTGTATACATGCTTTGTATTGAACCTGATTTGAGTGTAATTGCTTAGTCTTACTGTTTGCTTCTCTGCTTTTTTGATAAATGACGGGTTTCTGTGAACTAATGTGTTCTTTGTGTTACAGGTTCAGTCGCCAGTGTGTTGTTGACAAGGACAAAAGAAATCAATGCAGATACTGTCGATTAAGAAAGTGTTTTAGAGCAGGAATGAAAAAAGAAGGTAATAGTAATAATAATGATGATGATAATTGCGATTATTGATGAAAAGTGATAACAATGTGCAAACATTCTCATTAATCACAATAGCCTATTTAATAAGCCCTGATTTCCCTCAGTACATTAATGGGAAATCTGTCAGGGGTCCCAGTTAAGGAATTTGGCCCAAGGATGTACAGCTAGTAAGGGGTGGAGCTAGTGATTATTTGCTCTGATATCTAAAGCCATCCTGTCCATACGCATAGATTAAAACTATGAATGTACTGTACATGGAATTTTTATTCTGAGGAGTGCTGAGGTATCTTTACTTATCTCGCGAACATCAACTACATATTATCTCTTTTTTTTTGCATTCCTCTATTTAAAAACATTCATGAGACATTGCTGTCTCCCAAACACTCTTTCAGATACTGATTTTTGAATTGCGAACATGATAGACAAGATAATCCTCCATCTTGATACCCTCATATTCTATTCAGTAACAGAAGTAGTGCAGATATGGTATTTAGTGTACACTGGTTTTATTTTTATCATGTTAAGTCATCTCATTTTATCTTTTCTCATTCTGATATGGTTAGAGAAAACTGCGTTATACATCCCAAACATCTGGCAAGTTTAACAGCTGTAAAACAAATACCTGTAATTTGTTCTGTGTCCATTTTGTGATATGTAAAGAGCTGTTTTTTGACAAGTATATTACAGACTTTTTTAAAAAAGTTAAATCAAATCACAATACCACAGAAACATAAAATATATTAAATACATACTTTCTCTTAACTCAATAATTTAAAATTACGGAAGTTTTGTTAGCTTTTATTGAGCTCCGCATCTCAGAAGAATATTACAAAAGTAAAGCTCTCTAAATTAAAGAGACGATTTATCCTTTCACAAATATGATATAGCTAATTTTCTAAAAGCTCCATTATGTAGTTGATAAGAATAAATACGTAATTTATCAATATCCTTCTCCCTTATTACTCGAAGATTACTTCTTTCCCTAATAAAACTGTAAACAATACCAAGCCTGCATTTCCTGTTTGAGTCTGACAATTTACAAAATAAAATTACCTTTGAAAATAGTAAAATTACGTCTTCTACTGTTCATAAAACGAGTTTGATTTTACTAAATAGATTGCAAAGTAACTTTTGAGTTTAAAAATTGATACATCTAACTCTTCAATAAATAATACATCTTCTTATTAGTATTAATTAAATGGAAACCAAAACATGGATTTAAGTAAAAATTGAGAGCAGTGAAGGCATTGTAAATGTTTGTGATATGTTTCAGTGTTTTTTATAATGTATGATCATAATAAATAATTTATAAAAAACAGAGGAACTTCTTCTTTTTTCATCCTTTCATATGGATTTCTACATAAGTGGAAAACCATTAAAAATAAGCTACTAGTAAGTATGCTTTTTAAGATAAAATACTAAATAATTGAATCACCCTAAAGATGTCTCTTTCTTTAGCAAAAAGGTCACTATTTTTTTCTGCTAACTTAACAGATTTGCCACATTTAGGTCCCTGTGACATTGATGCAGAAATTTGTGGATTTCTTTGCTGGAGAAAAACATTGGTAGTTTGATATCACCATATTTTCAACAGAACTGATTATAACATTAGCCTAAGTACTTGAGGACCTCTTGTTTTTCTTGACTCTGGTTAACAGAAGATCATTTTTCTGTCCCAATTTTTGAAATTTGACTTTGATGATTAATTTATTTTTACATGAAATTCATGCAAATTTATGGGGTTTTTCATCCACTCTTTATTATGCTTGAAAGTTTGGTTTTCAATAAGTGTTTAGGACATGTGCATCATTCATTCTTTTCCTTCTGAATCAAGGAAGCAGATCTACCTCTCTCCTGAAGACATATTATTCAGTGTAAGGAATGATCTTATCTTTCTGAAAAACAGGTATTCAGGCCTCTGTATTCTTAGATACCTCAGATTATACAATGATTTCTGAAAGTAACGACTGTAACTATAGCTTTATAAAGGTCTCAGATTTGCTTAAAACCATCTTAACTACAACAAATTTACTTTCTCTTTTGGTATTATTTTATAGTTGAAAGAAAATAGGAATTTAAGAATCTATGACGTGGGCCAGGTGTTGTGGCGCACACCTTTAGTCCGAGCACTGGGGAGGCAGAAGCAGGTAGAGCTTTGAGCTTGAGGCCAGTGGTCTACAGAGTGAATCCAGGATAGCCAGGGCTACAGAGAGAAACCCTGTCTCAAATATAAGCAAAAGAAAGAAAAGAATCCATGACTCACATCTTCTGACAGTGACTCTGTTACTGTCTTTGACCTGACAGTCTTCTTCCTCAAGTTACCTTACTGTCTTATTAGCTTTGAGAGAATAGAAAAACCATCTTATTAAAAACATAGCATGTCAAAACTGGGTGACTCCAGAGTTCCCAGCATGCATCGTATCACAAAGTCTAAGCAGCCATATTTTATGAACTCTGCTGACGAGGTTGGCTATTCCCACCTTTGAGAGTGGCTCGAGAAGGAAAAAGAAAAAAAAAAAAGTCTTACTTTCTACATTTTGAAAGACTATCTTTGAACTTGCATTATTTTCCTTATCTCCAACTCTACATCATAGTCTAGGTTAGGGATATAACTGATAAATCTCTGTGTTTTTCTTCCCTTAGCCGTGCAAAATGAGCGTGACAGAATAAGTACTAGAAGAAGCACTTTCGATGGCAGCAACATACCCTCCATCAACACTCTGGCGCAAGCTGAGGTCAGGTCTCGCCAGGTATGCTCCGCCCTCAGCACTGACTCTTTTGAACAGAATGCAGTGTTTGCCGATGCAAAGTGCTATAATCTGAGTTCATAGTTTTGTGCTCATCGCTAAAGATAATCTAAAACGGCTCAAAAATATCTCTCTGAAAGAAGTAGGAGAATCGCTGACTCGATTTTGAATTTTTTCGAACAAGATCCTATCTTTGAAAGAAAAAATGAAATTAATTCCAGTGTAAGATTGTTTGGAAGTTTATTTGTGAGGTCAAGTAAATGTGAAAGACATCATGATGCTCTAGTGGCAGTGTTTTATTGAATAAGTCTCTGAAATCATATGCTACAATTTTGAAGGCATTTTTCATCAGATTCTTTTCTTAAACTTTATGTCTGAGCTCAAGCAGTCAACTCACCTTCTCCTTAGGGAACAAGTGCTTTGATGAGAATTAAAGGCAAAACTCAGGAAATAGGGAAAAAAGTAAATTTCATTTTCAAATTTTAGAATAAGAGTATTAGGCTGGGCAGAAGTGGCACACACCTTTAATCCCAGCACTCAGAAGCAGAGGCAGGTGGATTTCCATGAGTTCAAGGTCAGTCTGATCTATGGACAGAGATCCTGGACAAGCCAAGGCTAAAAAAAAAAAAAAAAATCCAACCAAAGAAACGAAAATAAAATAAAAATATCAGGCATATAAGTTAAAAAGATAAATTATTCATTTTACACATAAAAACAATCATTGAGTCTGATATACAATCTTTTGAAAAGAGTTTATTTTAAGATTGCCCTTATTGGAAATGTTCAGGGTGTTTACGCCAAAGCAAGTTATGAAATAGCTAAGTAGTTAATCAGGTCTTCTAAGGAGGCAGTGAGTCTACTTTCGTTCTTGATAACGCAGGAGTAATATGATGAGGTTAACATCCCATTATCATCACTATTACTTGAAGATTACTTGATGGTCCAATAAAGCATTTAAAGAATGACTTAAAGGGGTGCTTTGAGGAAACACCTGGGGTCACATGACTAATACACACATGAACACACACGTACACACATGAACCTGTGGTTAAAAATAATTTTACAGAAATTTAATTAAGTAAAAATCATTTCTTGTGGTTACTCTCAGTTTCTTCATGTAGCCAGTTTGAACTACAAAAGTCCTCTAAAACCCTAACCTACTTTACAAATACTGTATTTAAAATAAAATTCTGCTCTCAGACCATGTATTTATATATGCCTGTTTTCACTTTAGCTTTAAACCAATAAGGATTTTATTTCTCAGATTAAAAATGCTTAATATATATGAAAGTACAATGATAAGTATTGCTTCCATGCTGTTTATAAATGTAGTCAAAGGTAAAAGAGGAATTATTGGCTGGTCGGTAGTTTCAATGATAAATTCATACGATATTCTGTTAACGTTAGATAACAGTAGCAAGTCCCGGTGCGAGTACTGACATAAACTTGAAGAAAATCGCAAACATCAGCGACGTCTGTGAATCTATGAAGCAGCAGCTGTTAGTCTTGGTGGAATGGGCCAAGTACATCCCTGCCTTCTGTGAACTGCCCTTGGATGACCAGGTATGACTTAGAAGAAATCACGACTCCCTTAAAAAAGTGTTTTTGATTTTTGCTAAGTTCTTGTGCTCTTTGATTTATATTTGTAATGCGGTGGTTGAATTATGTGAACTAAGCGCAAATGAGATTGTTGTTGTTGTTGTTTGTTTGTTTTCTTATTGTTTTACCCCTTTATTTTGTCAAGAAAGAACTGTCCATTGTCAGGATCTAACAAAGTTATTGATTGGTTAAGAGCTGATTAAGACAATCTTCTGCTGTTTTGGAGTTTAAAAATTTACACGAGGAAGAAAGGTCATCAGCAAATAACCACAGTCATAAGATTTTGTGGGTATCAGAGGAGTAAATGTTTGGCAAATTAGGGGAGACAAGTGGTGAGCTGTGGCGTTTTGAGTTTCCCAAAGGGACTGAATGAGGGTAGCACCTTCTTAGACAGAAACCCAGTAGGATGTGATGGTGTCTTTGTGGATACAAGTAACATGGAGGATTGTTCTATGCTATCAATTTTATTCTGGAATTTATTGTATTGAAATATAGATGCAGGTAAAATAGCCATAGGTTTCAGATCTGAAACCCACAGAGAAAAAAAAAAAAAAACTAAGATACAGTTTTTTCCCTAATGTACACATTTTTAAACTTGGCATATTAATAGTAGGAAAATTTAAATAATTAAAAACTTGGGTTTTTATCATAAGTATAAAGACTTACCTGGATATGACTCACTCTGAGTTTTTCTTTCGAAAGAGTGCATACCTGTTTGTAGATGAAGATAATCTTAAACTTTCCATTGCTTTTGCACTGAAAGAATTTACCACACTAAGAGTTCAAGCCAGTACATACACCCTCTGACCAATGTTGTCACTGACACACACACACACACAACATGCCAAACAAAACCAAAACCAAGTGTGACTGTGTAAAAATCAAGGAAAAGAGAAATATCTATACACCAGAAGGGAGAAGGATCACTATAGAAAGACAGCAGTTACATTTCTCTTTCTTTCTCTCTTTCTTTCTCTTTCTTTCTTTCTTTCTTTCTTTCTTTCTTTCTTTCTTTCTTTCTTTCTTTCTTTCTTTCTTTCTTTCTCTCTCTCTCTCTCTCTTTCTTTCTTCCTTTCTTTCTTCCTTTCTTTCTTTAGCAGTACATTTTAAGTAAGGTATTTACTTGGTTCATGAAAACTGAAATCACTTGTCCAATGTTTTGTAACTCCCTTCCTGGAGTGAGTCAGAGTTATTGACATGTCATAAAGATAGCTTGCCTCAGAAGATTATGCCAGAGTGAATAATGCTAAATTGCTAAAACCTGCCAGTCTCACCCCAAGCAATATAAGTAGGGCTGTGCTATTTATCAGCTTTATATTTTATTATCATCCGTTTTTAAATCCTGCTGAGTTATATATAAAAGACAATGGTCGAAATATTGGGAATATGGAGATTAGCAACTAGTTTAAAAGTCTTTGTTTGCTTCTCATTAATATTAACAGCATGACATTAATAATTATGGTGAGTGAATGCCTGTTATGGAAAATACATTGAGGACTGAACTCTCAAATATATGATCAATTATATCATCCTATTTAATTCTTTTAGGAGCTCTGTGGTGTAGGTGTTATCTCTGTTTTACAGTTTCTGAAACTGGACCCAAGCTCAGTTTATTCCATCTATAAATGCATGAGATGACTATTTATTAGAAGACTACTGGTTTCAGTTAGGATCTGAGGGGATCCTGCAGTATAAGTGCAGATTGCTTCACTTGGTATCATAAACTTTGTGGTCTAGTTGGCAGCAACGGACAATAAAAAATATATATACAAATCATGAGTCAGTTGACTAGGTGGGGATAAGCTCTGTGAAATTTTATGAAATAGAAAGGATGCATTGGAGGATGAAGAGTAGTTGGAAGGAACGGCTTTATGATGGGAATCAGAGAAGACATCACCCTAAGCAAGAATGGCAGGGGCCAAGGTTGAAGGAGAAGAATTCTAGTGCGTGCATGCTACGCTAAAAGGTTCTCAGGCAGGCGATGCAGCATGCACAGTGAGTGCTGCAAGATAGAGCAGGGGCAGAAGGCAGGGGCAAGGGAAGTTATGCCTGCTCACCTCATGTCACATGTGAGGCCACAACAGAGGAATCTGGATTTGATTTTAAGGACAATATGAGGCCACTGGAAAGTTTTTCGCGGAGTTGTGGTACGTTTGTATGAGAAGCTTACGCAAAGATGCTGCAGGACTGGGAGTAAGAAGGAAGCTAAAATAGCAACTGAGTGTGCTGCAGTAGTCTGGGAAACGTGACAGTCGGGCCAGGGTGGAATCCACGGAAAAGAAAAGCAGTAGAAGGATGTGCCTTACATTTTAATAACCATCGCGAGGCCACTAGATAGTTGGGGAACACTCCAGTCATATTTGGATGACGGCACACTTTACTACCGTGCGGAAGAACGGAGGGACGTAAGGGAAGCAGTCATTTGGGATGTGTTACACTTGTCTTGATTCCTCTGGTTGTTAGTGATGAGGCCCAACATGCAACTGAATGGAAGAATAAACATCAGTTGAATGTTTACTGTTGCAAGTCAGACAGACACCAGGCTTAGAAACAAGCAGGAGCCAATCTGTTTCTTTTCCCTAGAAGCCTGTAGCTTGCTTTGTTTGTTTAATTTATTATTTGCAGGAAATTTTGTTTTATCCATATTTCATCATTTAATTCTCAGGAGTACATTTGGTTTTTCATTTTTTTTTATATGAAAACAAATGAAAGTCAAGCCTACTAGTAAACGAATGCAAGGGTAAACAGGAAAACCAGGAGGGTGTCACTGTGCTGAGGTGTGAATGCAAGCCTGATCCAATTGCTTGTCTTACGAACACACGATCTGCTTTTCTCTGATACCCCCAAAGCAAACACTTCTGATGCGGTAAGATGGAGACCCGGAAACCCTAATCATTATAAGTATGTATAAATGTTATACGTCAGGACAAAACAAAACAGGAAAAGAGTTGGGCTTAAGGAACACTGTTAGTAGGCTAACCTCGCACAGTCTTTTAATTATTATATGTTATAAATAATTGTTAAACTTGGAAACTTTTATTAAGGTGGCCCTGTTGCGAGCACATGCCGGAGAACATTTACTGCTTGGAGCCACGAAGAGATCCATGGTGTACAAAGATATTTTGCTTTTGGGTAAGATTTTTTTAAAGAGGAAATTAAGCATACTTTAGCTTTTTAATATGTGGAATCTATTCAGCATGTACAAATCATCCAGTCATTGGGAAATGGTGCTCTGATTTTCCAATGTGTCCCCATTTAACTCTAGTGTGGTGGTGGTGGTGTGTGCATGTGTGTGTGTGTGAGGGGGGTGTTGCCTATGAAGGTCGCAGAGCAAATTCTGGAGTCCATTCTCTTCTTCGATTATGTGTGTCTTAGAAATGGGATCAGGTCTCCCTGCTTGGCTGCAAGCATCTTTCCCCACTGAGCAGTCTCGCTGGCTCTGTTTTTTCTTTTTCTTTTCTTTTCTTTTCTTTCTTTTTCTTTTTTTTTTTTTGATTGAATATAAGTTCATAGTGCTGTGAGTTAACAGGGAGAGGCATTGAAATTAATTTTGTTCCATAATCCTAAGTTTGACTTCTGTTTAAGTCTTATAAAGATAAAGAATAACAATTTAAATGAGTAATTCTTGAATGCCAAAGTGCTTTCATGCTCTTCCAGAGCACGTGTAGTAAACTATTTTATACTCTCTTAAGGAACATATTTATTTCCTAGGATCTGGTTGTTCATAGTATACTACAAAATAATTATATTAAAATGGTGGCAGCGTGTGAAACGTTTTGGTAGGTAGCATTGTAAGAAGCAGCAACGGTAGGGTATAGTTGTAAGGGTAAAAGGACATGAGAAGACTCACTGTTTTCACTAAAAATCATCTCAGCCTTGTCCTGGCTAACTCAAAAGATTAGGTTCTGAGAGATATTTTGGTCCCAAATGTAAACAAATGGGACACAGTCTAAGAGTAGCTAATATTTATTGAAGGCTAATATTTATTGAATGCTCTGCTTTAAATGCAATGTGTTAACACTCACCCTCTAACTTAATCACTGAAACAAAACCTTACTGCCCTGCTAATTCTGCAGTGGAAAAATAGATGAAGGGAATACTTTGATCCTGACAAGAAGCCAGGCAGCCAAGACCTGGAATTCTCAACCATAATGGTATCTCAGAATGTGTCTTGGACTTCGGCTGGACAAGTCCATTGTGTTTCTACCAAACCACAGAAACACTGTCCTCTCTGTAAATCTTTTCCCAAAATACCCTGAAAAACAATGTGTCCTATACCTTATTCTCGATTGCTTTTTCATTAGTAGCTAGGTCAGCTCTTTTCACATGACAGTGTAAGACATGTAGACACAAAGATAACTACATACAATAATAGATATTATAGTTCGTGTGGCTGTGCTAATCATTCCTTTCTCCATGCATGTGTATATGCAAACATCACATTGTTCACTTTAAATATATGCAATATTTTAATCCCCCACATATCAAGAAAGCTGAAATGCAAGCCCGGAGAGAGGCTATCACTCCAGTAGTAACTTTTGCCATATGGTGAAATTCTTGTGCTAATTTTCCAGAGCTTTGGCAACACACCTGAAATAATTGACTTATAAAAGCTGAAAGGTTTATGTGACTCCCAGTTTTAGAGGTGTCAGTTCATATGTGCTTGGCCTGGTTGTTTTGGGCCCGTGACAGCCCAGAACACCATGCTTGGTGTGTTTTGAGTGTTTAGCAGAGAACATTCCTTATTTCATGTCAAGAGAGGAAGAGAAGAGGAGACAGAAAGAAAAGGCTAGTGTCTACATGCTTCATTCAAGACATACCTTCAGGGCCAGAGAGATGGCTCGGTGGTTAAGAGTATTGACCCTTCTTCCAGAGGACCATGGTTTGATTCCCAGCATTCACACCGCAGTTCTGTAACTGTAACTCCAATTCTAGGAGACCTGACAGCCGTTTCTAGGCACACGTGTCCTTCACAGAAAGACATGCACACCAAAAACCCACGCATATAAAATAAAACTAAAATAAAAAGAGCACACTTTCAGGGACATAACTGCCTTCCTCTGAGTCCCAATTTCAAAGGCTTCAAAACTTGCTAGTGATACTGTAATTTGCAGTTCAAGAATTTAATACATAAGCCTTTGAGAGATAGTCAGGATCTGTTATATCTAATTAGATCAAGATTTAATTAGATCCACCTGCAGTGAAGTAATTAAAAATATACTTTTTCATATAACATCAGAAAATAGTAATCTAAGTTTATTTGAGAACCTATAGTAAATGTTTACCATATTATAGCCAGGGATGTGTACGGTAGAAAGATCTAGAGGAATTAGTTGGTCCTGCTCTATCACATTTCTGAACTCCCTTGAATTCAGTTCAGTAAATTTTTTCAAGTCATCTCTATTTAAAGAAACCAAGTGTCTTAGTTAGGGTTTCTATTTCTGTGATAAAACACCGAACAAGAGCAATTTGAGAAGCAAAGAGTGTGTTTTGCTCATGCTTCCATGCCACTGATCATCACTGATCACCAGGCCAGGAACTCAAGCTGGGCAGAAACCCTGAAGCAGCTGCTAATGCAGAAGCCATGGGGGGTGGGGGGGAGGTGCTGCCTGCTGGCTTCCTTGCCATGACTTACTCAGCCTGTTTTCTTATAGAACCCAGGGCTATCATCCCAGGGATGACACCACCCAAGATGGGCTGGGCCCTCCTACATCAGCCACTAATTAAGAAAATGCCTAACACTAATTGTATCAGGGTTTAGCTGTCTTCCATGACGTGAGTCTCAGGTTGGGCCAATCACTGATTGGATATTCCCTCAGTCTTTGCTTTATTATTGTCCCTGCCCATCTTGTAGGCAGGACAAATTTTGGGTCAAAGTTTTTGTGGGTAGATTGGTGTTCCCTTCTTTCCACTAGGAGTCCTGTCTAGTTTAGAGGGTGGCATCTTCAGTCTGCTTGACCATGTTACTAGGGATCTCAGCTAGAGTCACCCTCATATCTTCCTAGGAGCCTACATGATTAACAACACTCTGGGAGCCAAGCATAGGTGTTCTCTGAGTGACTCCACCCAGCACCTGATTGGAACAGATGCAAAGACCCACAACCAAACATTGGGTGGAGCTCAGGGTGTCTTGTGGAAGAATGGGGGGAAGGTTAGAAGGACCCAGAAGGGGCAAGAGCTTCACAAGCAGACGAACAAAGCCAGCTAACTAGGGCCCAGGTGGGTGTGTTGAGACTGAAGCCCCAACCAAGGACTATACATGGACTGGATCTAGGGCCCCTATGCAGATGTAGCAATGGGCAGCTCTGACCTCATATGGGTTCCCTAGTAAGGGGAATAAGGGCTGACTCTGACATGGACTCTGCTTCCTGCTTCTCAATCACTTTCCCCTAGTGGGGCTACCTGATGCGACCTGATAGGCTCGGGTGGGTGAGTAGGGGGCTCCCCTTCTCTGAGGAGTAAGGGAAGTGGGATATGGGAAACAGGGAAGGGCCTACTACCTGGATGTAAAATGAATAAATAAATAAAAACTGAAAAAAAGGGAAAGAAAATTCCTAACAGGCTTACCTACAGACAGTTCTTACGGATGTATTTTCTTTTTTTTTTTTTTTTTTTTATTTTTTTTTTTTTATTTTTTTTTTTTTTTCTTTTTAGTTACATTTTCTTAACTCCGTGTCCCAGCTGTATCCCGCTCCCTCATTCCCTCCCCAACCCCACACTCCCTCCCTGGTCTCCTCCCTGCCCCTTTCCAAGTCCCCTGATAGGGGAGGACCTCCTCCCCTTTCATCTGTCCCTGTTTTTCTTAGTTGAGGTTCCTTCTTCTCACGGGACTGTAGCTTGAGTAAGGTTGATATAAAATCCATGCGCACAGCAAGGAAAAGGAGGCTGGAAAGATCTCTAAATAGAAATAGTTCTTGTCACACAGTTGTTAGAAATTGAATTCAAACCCCCCAACCCCATCTAAAGTCAGGTGCTATAGTATACATCTATAGGCCCATTATAGAAACCAGGAGATGGCAGGCCAAAAGGGGAGACTCCTTGAATGCTCAAGGACCCACTAACTTGGGACACAACATGCAACAGTAAATATATTCTGTGTTAAACAAAATGGAAGGCGAGGTTGTCCTCTGACTTCTAAGCGCATGTTGAGTCTATCACAGGCCTGGACTCATGCATCCTCACCACACCCCCAAATTAACAAGAAAGAACTCAAGAAGATGCACCATTCTATCAATGAGGCAACTCATGACAACGCACATGCTAATTTCCCTCCCTCCTCCCCGACCCCGTGTTTAAGCTTATTTAAACCGCATCTGATGTGTTCTTAGTCCAAGAGCACCAAAGCACATTGGTTTTAATCCACTGTTAGCAAGGAGGATTCTTTAGGATTTGTGTTACCCTCATTAATGAGCGAGGCACTAATAGAGGCCTGACACAGGCGAAGGCTAATCATTATCGGTCGATTCTCCCCTGTCAATTATTAGCTGGTTATGAGTCTGTACTTTTCTGTTATCGCCAGTGACTGAGGCTGTTAAAACGCAAGTGGACACATTATCATTATCGATCAAGTGCTCTGACGCTCTCGCCTCACTAACTCAGTTCTCCAGGAAGCTGTAAGAGCAGACACAGTCCCTTCCAGAAGAGACAATTTCCAACGCTGAGGCAAACACCATCCAGCAGTCCAGCCGAGACGGTGGCTCATTCTTCTTTCTCTCTCAGGAAACAACTACGTTATTCACCGTAACAGCTGTGAAGTCGAAGTCAGCCGTGTGGCCAACCGAGTTCTGGATGAGCTGGTCAGACCTTTCCAAGAGATCCAGGTGGATGACAATGAGTACGCGTGCTTGAAGGCCATCGTGTTCTTTGACCCAGGTTTGTTTTCCAAGTGGAAAAATCAGTGTATCAGTGATGCTCAACTACTCCTTTTCATCCGAAAGCCTTCACTGACCTGCGTGTGCCCCTGTTTACTCTCTCATCAGATGCAAAGGGACTGAGCGACCCTGTGAAAATTAAGGGCATGCGGTTCCAGGTGCAGATCAGCCTGGAGGACTACATCAACGACCGGCAGTACGACTCCCGCGGCAGGTTTGGGGAGCTGCTGCTGCTGCTGCCCACGCTACAGAGCATCACCTGGCAGATGATCGAGCAGATCCAGTTCGTCAAACTGTTCGGCATGGTCAAAATCGACAACCTCCTTCAGGAAATGTTGCTGGGTGGTGAGTGCCCTGGGGTGCTTTTTCTTACTGCTCAGCTGTCCTGCCCTTGGCGTCGTATGTGGGTGCAGCCCCTTTGGCGTTAACCCTCATAGCCTTCCCTGTGTGGTAAATAGAATGTATTCCCTGCTTTGAGGGCATTGAGAAGTGTAGCTTTTCTGTTGTTGTTGTTTTGTGCTTTTGTTCTTTTTTTTTTTTGTTTTTGTTTTTGTTTTGTTTTGTTTTGGTCTTGGTTTTTATGATCTCTAGTTTCTTTAAAATTCGGAGAAAAGAGATATCGCTGCGTAGCCCATATATGAATCAAATGGCTTTAAAATGAACATTCTGCTCCTAAAGGAATTAATTGACATAAACTAGTAGGAGGGAGGAAAGAGAGAGAGAGAGAGAGAGAGAGAGAGAGAGAGAGAGAGAGAGAGTGTCTTCAGGGCTGCAATAAATGTCAGGAATAAGTTAAGGAATAATTATTTTATGTTCTGATTTAGATTAAATTTCCTTGTAAAGTCACTATATTTATTTTTAGTTTTCTGGTACTTAATGTGTTCCTAATGATATCTTTCTGAAATAAAAGTTGTTCATGCTATTAGGGTAATTCCAAATACTATAAACTTGAGGTAAGTGATTCTTGGAATTGCCTTAACAACAAGCAGAAAACCTAATGATTCCAGGAAGCAGCATACAAGGCCTATTATTAATACTCCACATTATAATACAGCATTCATCTCTCTCCAATGCACCATGAAAGCTGACATTGTCTTTAACATGGATGTAGTTCTCTCCATTTGTTTTTGAATTTTCCAAAAGTACTTTGCAAATAGCAATATTTAAACTGTCATTGGCAATGTGCATCAAGGTAAAGCCCTGTTTTCCATAAATATCACTAATGCAAGTATCTCTGTGTCTTCTCCAGGTGCTGCCAACGATGGCGGCCATCTCCATCACCCAATGCACCCACATCTGTCTCAAGATCCACTAACTGGCCAAACTATACTTTTAGGACCCATGTCCACACTGGTTCATACAGACCAAATCTGTAAGTATCTGGGGAAAATGTCCTGCTGTAACTAACGTCTCTTAAGTGTATTTATTTGGGGAAAATTATTACTTAGGATTGGAAATTATTAGTTCCCAGAAACTACAAGCCTTGGGTAGAGTTTCCTCTGCTCTACTTAGCTGTGTAAGACTGAAAAAACTAGGTTCATGACTTATTCTCGCTAGGTGTGAATTTACATTCCAAACTGAAGGTGTAAAAACTTAAATTTTTCTTTACTATATGTCTGGGAAGTATAAAGCATATGCCTTTGTTACTGCTTTCATGCTGGTGTAGGGCCATACAAATAGCCATATATGTTGTAACCAAATCAACAAACTGTAATTAATATCAGGGAAATTATAGTTGCTGATGACCTTTAAAATTGGAAAAAATATTAAGGACTCTTTACTATAGATTAAAAATGTGTAGAAAAAAATTGAAAAAAATTAACTTGTGATATGATTTAGGTAGTTTTAAGGGATCAGAAGCAGTGAGAACTAACACATTTCAGCTTTGTTGTTAAAAATACAACAGGGCAGTTTGGATGGTTCTTGCTGCTTTCTTACATTAGAACGCATGGCCGGTTTAGGGGGTGGTGCCACCTGGAAGAATGGGGCCAACAAATGAGGTGGACTAAAGTCTCATGTAAGAGCCAGCTTTATCTAGAGCCTTCCTCTGAGGCTCTGAGGGTGAAGAAAGGTCACTGAGTAAAGATCTCACGAGTTCAAGCTGAATAAAACCACAAGGACAAGCCACATGTGGCAAAATCGTGTTTTCTTTTCCCATAGAGGTATATAAAGGATAATTTAAGTATTTAATTGAATAATAACAAAAAGAAATAACAATAGAAAAAGAAAGTAATCTGAAGCAAACACACTGCTATTGGCTACACCTAAGAAAAGCACAAAAAAACATTCTAAGAACAATTCCACCTTCTGAAGAAACAGGTCACAAGACTCTTGCCTGGCTTTCTTGATGTTTTCTCACAAGCACTTGGAGTCCTCCTGAGGTGACTCCATTCCTGGACTATGTTCCAACAGAAAGGGAACACTTTGCCCATGGGATGGTCAGTTTCATTCCTTCAAAAGCGTGAACCATCTTCCCATCTTTGTCCATGTTAAATGTTCTGAAGTAGCTGTGAATGTGATGACTTTTATTTTCTTTGCTGATTTCACTTCATTGTTCTTTTAAAAATCATTAATGTTTCCCCCACTTCCATGAACAAGCAACTCTTCCTAAGTCCTTAGATGCATGTTGACAGCCTCGAACATTTGCAGCAATAGCATCTGCTGATCAACTTCTGCTACGATTCTGTGTAGATTTAAAACTCAATTTCCAGCATTATATCTTATTGTTTCTTCACTCCCTTTCATCTCTCTTGGTCAATTCTCCTTTCAGCTAATTCACTTTTATAAATGGTTGTCTGAGTTCATCGCTGGGGAGAAGGCACCTCAATGATGTGTCATCTACCTGAACTAAGTAAAAGATGCCAGTGCTCCATCACAGACAGAAAGATAAACTGTGATCAGTGGCTCATCACTAAGCAACCTGTTATTTGGTAGTGGTTTCTAGAAGGTTGAGAGTAAAGTTCTATTTATGCATGGGAAATTGTAAGTTACCAGAGTAACTGGAGCTTCAATCATATTGAAAGAGTAGTGCGCTTTAACGAAAGTTATGGTAACTAGCGTTCCTGCATATAATTGTGCAAAGTAAGGCCACTTATGAAGCTTCTTTAGAATTCAAACCATTGTTGGTGACTAGAGTAACCACCCACACATGCAGCTTTAATGCAGGTTCTACTCTTCTAAGCTACTTTAGGGTTAGGAGCTCTGTTTGAAAAGGTGTCTAGAATTGATTGGTCAACCATATGCTAGTCAGGTGGCACCACTATGGAGCAGCTGAAGAGACACTCTTCCGGAGCACAGATTTGTTTCGGGGTGTGGTTTCAGTGTTTCCGTTATGAGGAGCTGGCTAACTTTGAAGGGCGTACGCTAAGACAACACTGTAAGGGCTGTAGACTTGTAGAGCGGAGCCTCCCTTTTCAGAGCAGCCAAGAAACAAACAATGTGCGTGAGGAACAGCATACCACCCAGACACATTCCCCAGAGGTTTACTTCACAGCTGACTTTCCCACCACTCTCCAGACACCACCAGTTCTAGACCAACACGTGGTCTGTGAGAAAGGTTTCATATCAAAAACATTAAACATTTCCTATGTGGTTGTACCTATTAATGCCAAGTTTACCTTTGATCTGTTGCCTCTAAATACTAAACCAACTAATTCACTGCACTGGCATTAACTGTTGTGATATAATTTTATGCATATGTCCACTGCCTTCTGAATAAACAATATTCTTTAATAACTATTTATAATGTTGGTGATCTCGGATGCTCCACGTAATCACACAATTTTGGTGTCCCACTAGAGTGTCAATCTATGGCAGGGAAAGCTGAGGTCACAGAAAAACTCATTATCATTCTGTCCTTTAGAAATAAATACTGGTGGACAGTTAATTGGGTGTCAGAGATAAAAACAGAGTCAGAAAAAATCTATACATGTTAGAAATAATATGGTGTGTTTATTACACTTTCTAATTAGCAAATATCAATTGAACAAAATAATTGTTTATGACATTTAAACACATGTATGTCAAGAATTTTAGTAATACTCGCCCATGCATTCCTTTTCTCTCATCTCTTATAATGCTATATTTCATTTCACAAATGCTAAAGTACCAAGAGAAGGAAAGCCCAGCACCATGCCAGGAAGGTGGGAGAATTCTGTCTTTTAGAATCTGGTTATTTATAAACTCAGAAAACAAAACACATTAGCAACACATTACCCATCATAAGGCTCTATTAACCATCACAGGGGTCTTAGGATCGAGTAAGAGTTTAATAAGATGACTGTGTGACTGCGTGAGATTCCTTCATCTTTAAAATGCTAGTGTTCATCATTTATGAAATGCATCATCACTACTCCATCCTTTTTCTCTGTTCAGAGCCTTTTCTATGAGACTTGCTTGTTAAAGAAAACTTAGATTTCTTTGTGCTTGCCTAAAACTGTTCCTATTATATGTAAAGCAGGAAATTAAACACGTTAACTAAAAAATTCAGGGTTTTCTTGGTGTTTAGGGAAGACCCCTAAACTTTTAAATCTATTCTAAATGTCAAGGAATAATTTAAGTAGCAAATCTCCATATTTATGTTCAACCAAACTACATATTTTTGAAGTAACTGGTAATCCATACTTAGCAATAACATAAAGTATTAATGAGTACCAACCAAAAGGAGATTGTTCTTGTTTTTATAGACATTCATTTAAAACTGAAAAAAAATCTATAAAGTTTATTACGTGAGCAGATACTTCCTGTTAGTTCTATCATATATTTTGTTTTCTAAAATTAAAGAATCTCTTGTAGATTATTTTTCAATATAGTAAAATTCCACATAAGAAGGAATACGTTCCTACACCAATAAAATACTCAAATTACATTTCAATTTTTTTTCAATTCAATTTTTAATATTCAATTACTTTATATTCAGTTACACGGGCTAATTCTTAGCATCGAAGGGGAAGGACCAGGGCAGGTCAATTGTAATAGAATTGTGAAACAACAGACTAACATACTGCAGAAGCCGCTGACCACAGCTTAGATCTCAGAACCCTTGTAAAGTAACTGAACATTAATTCTTCGATAATCTAATATGTATGAACTTGTGAAATTGCAAGCCAAATATTTTCATCTTATGTATGTCTTGACTGTAGATTTTATAAGATTGTTTGTTAATATTAGGAGAAATCAACATGCGATTAATTCTCTTCACCAACTTCTTCCTTCTTGGTGTGATAGAAAACTTAGTATTCATAAACGTTATTATGACAGGCAGGAAACATCCTGAAGTGAGAATAGATTGTTCAGCGTGATCATCTATCATTGTTTAGCTCTATTTGGAAAGGGAGGGTGAGAGCACCCTGCATTAGTATGTCAGTGGCCTGATAATTCATTATACAAATCAATACTTTACATGTGACCTTTTATTCAGAATTTAATAATGCATGCTGACATTGTGTAGGACTTTGTGTGGTGTTTCAGGGTGGCTGCTACTATCATATACAATTTTCTGCTTCCTTTTCAGCAACTCCAGAAACCCCACTCCCTTCCCCGCCCCAAGGCTCTGGGCAAGAACAGTACAAAATCACTGCAAACCAAGCTTCTGTCATTTCACACCAGCCCCTCTCTAAACAAAAGCAGTTGTGAAAACCTACCTTCTTCTGAATGGCACTGCATAAATGTGAAACACGTTGGTATTGAAATGTCTCAGGATGGCGGTTCTTGCCTTCTTTTAGGCAAGGCTTCTTCATGGTGCTGTTGTAAGATGGTAACCTATTTTCTTGTTTGTGAACACATTTTGTTTATCGTTGCTGTAAATCTTTCACATGCAACCCGTGTATATTTAAATTTGAAGTTGTTTTATAGTGTATTGTTTCCAGTTGTCCCTGCACTGTGCCCAAACCACTGGGATCTTATGTACGACTTCCATTGTTTTTCATAATACTAATTTAAATCTGTAAATAATTCCTTTGTTGTGATGTGATGCAGTTCTTTTTGGTTAAGAGTAGATTATAAATGCCAGTTAACATAAAATTCAACCAAGTGTTGTTTTTAATAAATTGTAAACTTGAAGATTAGAAAAGGAAAGCTGTAGCTATAGAATAGAGTGTTTCTTGAAGGGGAATATATCAGGGCCTGCTGTGGCAAGCAGTAAATGTGCCTATGTAAAATTCAGAGAATTAACACCATTGTAAAGATGACTGGATAGTCTCTGCATTGTGACAGCTTTTGAAGATGTCTGCTATGGGAAGACATGTTGTTTCTTTCAGATGGCAAACAAGCCAAAGCTAAACAAAGAAATAATAAACCATGGCTCAACCAAAAGGGACATTCATTTCTTACTCCTGGCAAATCTGGAAAGTCATCCATTCATTGGAACACCCGGTTCTTTGGGAAGAATCTTCCTATAGGGACCCATGCCAGTTCAAGTTATACAAATCTGGGAGAAAGAATGCTGGGGAACAAGCCATTGAACACATTTGTTCAAACCCAGCTCTGGTGGGCTTTAATGAGATTGTGTCACAAAAGGCCACATGCAATGCTTGCGGTCTGGTTTTGAAAACATACAATGACTGATGATGGAATATTACCTGTCATGGTACTCATGAATGTAAATAACGAGTACGCAGTTGTCTGCATTTTTTGCGTTGAGGATGAGAGACCAGTTTTGTACCTTTTGTGATCCTCACATCTCCTAAAATTCTTAAGATGTTTAATTTATACTAGATTGATTTTGATGACTTAGTGATTTTTTTGCAATGTAGAAATATGCTAACCATCTAATTCTAGACTGAGATGTAGCCCCAACTACTTGTGATCACCTAGAGCTGGGGCTTATTTTAAAAGCTCTATAGAAAATCTCATGAAGCAGCAAGGCACCTCTGTGTGTATATGCTCTCTCTCTTACTTCTTGCCTCTTTTTTCTTTCCCTCTCTTATATTTACTGAAGTAGCAAGAAAAAAAAAGTTGAATATATAGATGTACAATTATATAAAAATGTAAAAGTGAACATAGATCAAAAGAAAAACAGTATCTGAAGCTGTGAGATTTTGGGTTAGAGTTCTCAGATTGAGTCAGACCCTCCATCTATCTACAGGTATAGAGATTCCATTTAATATTAACAATCTTGGCTCTAAATGTGATGTGACAGCTATCAGTGATTTCACAGACTCAATTGTATTTATTCAAATGTTGTTATCCTTGTGAAACTAAACTGTAACATTGATGAAGGGAAAGGGAAGGGAGAGAAAGAGTTCCTAAATTATTTTAATATTTTGAAAATTTACTCTTGTTTCACGAAATAAGCAAGTTACTAATTTTCATGACCACAAATATCACCTGTAGGTTTTTGTTTACTTGTTTAATGTTATTCTTCTAAAAGTCGAAAAATTCATATATCTGGACTACTATAACAAAATATATGGAACTGAGAAAAATAAACAAGAGAAATGTATTTCTCATAGCTGTCCATGTTGGAAGCCTAAGATAAAGAACTATCAGATTCTCTCTCTCTGATTTATAGATAGTTATTTGTGAGATAGCTCTCAGGGGACCTCTTTTCTAGGAACAGGATTTTCATTCGTGTAAGTACCATGACCTCTTCACCTGCCAGCATTCCCACCTTTGCATATCATCATATTTATGGCTATATTTCCACATAAATGAGGAGGCATATAGACATTTAATACCATAGCAAATAATTTTAAAATGCAAAACATAAAATTTATTTTTGGTGAATGATATATCCATAATGATTTACTGACCAGGTATGTTTTGAAAAAATATTGTTAATTATTTTGTTTGAAAAATTACAGTCAGGGCATTTGTAATATAGTATTTTTATATACTGAACTGCCAGAAATAGTGGGCAAAGAAGAACTGATGCTTTCAGCAAACTATCCAGATACTGTTAAGAAAATTTATTACTGTTATACAATACTTTTTTTCAGGTGACAGATATAAATAATTTATTGTAAAATAACAGTTCATTTTATAAATGCAAAATTATTTTTATAAATTTCATTGTTGAAAATCAGAAATGAATAGTTTTTTTAAATGTTGAATTACAGTGAGATTAAAATATTTCTAAACTGTGATATTTGTTTTACTTGGCTTTATAAATAAAAACTGAGAAAATTTAACTGAAATTCAGTAGTATTTTAAATAAATTTTATAATTTTGGAAATACATTATAATCATATAGTCATTGCATTATATTGATATGGGTGGTCTTTAGACACTACTTGTAGTGGAAGGAAAGACTAATTTTTAGCACTTCTCCAAATAATCACAGACTTGGACTCTGCTGTAAAAGATCATTCATACATATAAACCTCTATTTTATAGCTGTGTTTGATTTCTGATTTGGTACTCATAATTGGCATAAATGATCTAGGATGTCCTAAACATCTCACTTTTTGTGCACACATCTCAGCTCATAAATTGCTAACCTATTGTATTAGCTACTTTTCTATTTCTATGATGAATCAGAAAATCCAGGCAAATTATAGTAGGAAGAGTTTATTTGGCCTTATGGTTCCAGGGAAATAAGTGTCCATCACCATGATGGTGGGGAAGCAGCAGGCGTGGTGTCAAGCCTAACCTTTGTAGTAGTGAGATGAGAGGCACAAAAACTGAAGACTCTTTAAACTCTCAAAGCCTACCCACTAGTGACAAACTTTCTCCAGCAGGGTCATACTTCCAAAACCTACCCAAATTGCACCACCACTATGGGACAAATTATTAGATGTCCTCAGGGGCTAGGAACATCTAATTCAAACTAGTTTATCTAAGTACTGAATATTTAAAGGTTGTGGGTACAAAATTTATAAATTAAAAGAACCAAGGTTATGGTCAATTTAATATATTGATTATAAAATGAACAGCATCTAGAATCACCTAAGAGGTAAGCCTCTGGCCACTAGCTTGCATGGGTTATTCTGGCCCCAAGGAACCTTTGAGAAGTTATCTAGATTAGGTCAATTGAGGTGAAAAGACCAACCCTGAAGGTAGTCAGCACAATTCTTTGGGTTTCTGTTTAAAACTGCATAAAAAAGAGAAAGCTTGTTGAGCAGAGGCATTCATGCTCTCTCCTTAATGACTGTGGATGCAATGTAAGTTACCTGACTCGAGATACTGATGCTTAGGACTTCTCTGGCAGTTTGAGCTAGCCACAAACTACAAGTCAGAATGAATTCTTCCTTACTGAAAAAGTATGTTAGCATAGCAGTGAAGGCATAATTAATATAGAAAAATGGACCCATGCTGTGATAAGCCTGACTACATGGTTCTTAAACCTTTTGAAAGAGTTTGAAAAACCAGAAGTACTAGCTAGTTTTATGTCAACTTGACACAAGCTAGAGTCACGAGAGGAAAGAGGCTTAATTGACAAAGTGCTTCCATAATATTGAGCTGTAGGCAAGCCCATAGGGCATTTTCTTAATTGATGATTGATAGTGAGGGTCCCAAGGGTCCCACCCATTTGAATGGGGCCAGACCCAAGCTGCAGATCCTTGGTTCTATAATAAATGAAGTTGAACAGGCCTTGTGGAATAAGCCAGTAAGCAGTAATCATCCATGGCCTGCTCATCAGCTCCTGCCTCCAGGGTCATGCCCTCTTTGAGTTTCTGTCCTGACTTCCTTTGATAATAAACAGTGATGTGGAAATGTCAGCCAAATAAGCCCTTTCCTTCTCAACTAGCTTCTGGTCATGTGAGCTTTGGTATGCTAGTAAGCAGCACAGTTAGCCATTTGTCTTAAGTTCCTTTGGGGCCTAACAAGTTCAAGACTTGAAAGTGAAAATAGTATCAATAAAGGTAAACCTGGAAATGAAAAATTTAGGAACTTTAACAGAAACCTCAGGGTCAAGACTCACCAAGAGAATATAGGAAAAGGTAAAAGAGAGAATTTCCTACCTTGAAGTCAAAATAGAAACGAAAACAGAGACTTGGTCAAAGAAAATAATAAAACTAAAAGATTTTGGAATTAAAAAAAATCCAGAAAATCAGCAGTGTTATGAAAAGACCAAGTCTAAGAATAATAACAATGTAGGAAAGAGAAGAACCCCAGATCAAATGCACAGAAAATATTTTCAATAAAATACAAGAACAAAATTTCTAACCTAAAGAAGGAAATGCCTACCAAGGTACACGAAGCATAAGACTGCAACAAAAAGAAAATCCCTGTAGCACATACTAATTACAACACTAACTGTAAAGAACAAAATATTTAATCTCAAACTCAGGACAAATGACAAACTGAGGTGCCTATTTGATATAAAGCAGACTTTGGCAGACAGATTCCTTCAGTCCCTACCTGCTAAAGAGCCACCCTGTCTGGTATACCTTTCCACCTACCTGAAACTCTCTAGGACAGAGATGGGGCTGGGTTTCCCTTCGTTATTCTTCCCTATATAACCTAGACATTCTAGCTATATGGTCCCTTTGCCTCCTACTATCCATGTTTCCTGATACTCTCCTCGTTTCCTGTCTCTTCTCTTCCTCTGTTGTTCATTGCCCCCACCCACTCACACACACCTTGCCTTACATGCAGAGTTTAGTCTGGATCCATCCAGATACCTCCAGATGTGCTATTCTTCATATCTACAATAAATCTTCTCCTCACCTATATGTATAAACAGTGATGGCCTGATTTTTTTTTCCATTTACTTGGTGGTGAAGCCATGGGAACAGCATAAAAGAGTTCCTTTCCAAAGGACTCAACCACTCCAAACCAAGCTACTGATTTGACAGTCTTGAGACATGTATCTGTCTTTTTTTTTTGGTGGTTTCTGCCATCCCCCAAATTTGACTACAAATTCTACAGTCTACTTCCTTCTACCTGCTTTCTAACCATTTGTCTCTCCTCATGCTTAAGAGTGTCTGTTGGCTGTGACCTGCTACATTTTCCCAGGACATCTCTCTATTCCCTCTATGTAGGCATATCTTTCTTTTCAAAGATACTTTGTTTTCATTCACAAAGAAAGAATATTAAAGGCTGTAAGGGGAAAAGTTCAAGTACCATAAAAAGGAAGACCTATTAGAATTAAACCTCTATTCTCAATGGAGATTCTGAAAAACAGAAGGGCCTGGAAGGACATGTTGCAGACTCTAAGAAACTACAAATGGCAGCGTAGACTACTATAACCAGAAAAAATTTCAATCACAATACATATAAAACATTCAATGATAATATTAAATGTACACTATATCTATCTCCAAACACAGTCCTATAAAAGGCACTAGAAAGTAAACTTTAACCAGAGGAAGTTAACTACACTTAAGAACCCAGAAAATCACAAGGGATAAAAACCCCAGACCAGTAAATCAAAAAGCGAGAAACAGACACACAGAGACACCAACACACACACATGAACAACTCACAACACTCTAGTCAACAAACACTGATCATGGATGAATCTCAACATCAGTGGTCTCAGAAAAGACAGATGCTAACAAAATCTGATGAGAAAACAGGATTCATTTTCTGCTGTATCCAAGAAAAACATCAAGGATAGGTATCACCTCAGAGTAAAATAATGGAAAAAGATATTTCAACCAAATGGACCTAAGCAAATTGATAGCCGTTTTAATATCTGACAAAATAGACTTTAAACCAAAATTAATCAGAAGAGATATGGAAGAATAATACATATTCATCGTAGAGAAAATTCACAAGGAGGGCATTTTAATCCTTAACCTGTGCACTAAATACAAGGACATCTAACTTCCTAGAAATAAAACAAAAGACTCTTACAGCTTAAATCACACATTGACCCTTACACACTGATTCTGTGAGAGTGAAAACCCCACTTTCTCTAATATATATGTCATCCAGACAAAGACTGGAAAGAGAAATGCTGGAGCTAATTGACAGTATAAACCAGATGGATCTAACATATATTTACAGAATATGTCACTCAAACAGAAAAGATACACCTTCTCAGAGCCTCATGGAACTCTATCTTGACTACATACTTGAACATAAATCAAATCTCAACAGAGTAAAAAACATAGAAATAACTCCCTGGATCTTATCTAACCAACAGTGATTAGAGATGGATATCAACAGAAGTGTATACAACAAAAAAGCTTACAAACTCAAGGAAATGAAACAACTCACTGCTGAATTAAAAATGCCTCAAGATACAAATTAAGAAAAAAAAATTGAATACTTTCTGGAACTGAATGAAAATGAATACACAACATACCAAAACTTATGAGACATAATTATGGCAGTTCTGAATGGCATTATGTGTCTACATTAAAAAGAAAATTGTAGAGTCTCATCTTTGTATCTTAAGAGCACACCTGAAAATTTCTTGAATGAAAAGAATCACACCCAAAAGAAACAGATGTCAAGAACTAATAACACTGAAGGCTGAAATCAATAAAATAAAAACAAACAAACAAATAAAAAAACAATTAGAAATAATCACTGAAACTGAGTTAGTTCAAGGAGCAAATCAGTAATATTGACAAACCCTTACATAAATTTATTAGAGGGTGGACAGAAAACATACAAATTAACAACATTCAAGAAGAAAGGAGACATAACAACAGGTACCACAGAAATCTCTAAAATTTTTAGGACATACATGAGAAACTTCACTTTATCAAATTGGAAAATTTAAGAGAAATAATAATTTTTTCCTATACATACCACCAACCAATATTAAATCAACATCATAAATGAAGTTTAACCATATCTATAACCTATGAAATAGAAGCAGTAATTAAAAGTCTCACAAACTAAAAGCCCAGGCCCAGATGGTTTTTAGCACAGAATTCTATTAGACTAATAAGAATTAAAAGCAATACAAAATATAATCAGGAGAAACATAACCCAATGCATTTTATGAGGTCACAGATTCCCTGGTACCCAAACTACAAAAGACACAAGAAAGAAAGAGAATTCCAGACCAATTTTCATTATAAACATAGATGTTAAAATGCTCAACAAAACACTTGCCATTTGAATCAAAGAATACAAACAGATGATCATCCACCATTATCGTCGGCTTCATCCCAGCAATACAGAAATATTAAACAAATATAAACTGGGAACGTAATCTACAGTATAAACAAACTAAAGACAAAAATCACAACATTACCTCATTTGATATAGAAAAGTCCTTTGACAA